CCTGCTCTGGTCCCAGTCCTGGTCCCGTCCCGCTTTAGTCCTGGTCCCTGGTCCCAGACCCGCTGTAGTCCTGTTGTAGTCCCGGTTTAGTCCTGGTTTAGTCCCGGTTTAGTCCCTGTGATCATGTGTGATGAAGAGGAGAGCACCGCGCTCGTCTGTGATAACGGCTCCGGTTTGTGTAAAGCTGGATTCGCCGGAGACGACGCCCCCAGAGCCGTGTTCCCGTCCATCGTGGGACGTCCCCGGCACCAGGTGAGGCCCAGACCGGCCCCAGACCCAGTGGTTTAGTCCTGGTTCTGACCCGGTTCTGGTCTGGTTCTGGTCTGTTTCAGGGCGTGATGGTGGTTTAGTCCTGGTTTAGTCCTGGTTCTGACCCGGTTCTGGTCTGGTTCTGGTCCGTTTCAGGGCGTGATGGTGGTTTAGTCCTGGTTTAGTCCTGGTTCTGACCCGGTTCTGGTCTGGTTCTGGTCCGTTTCAGGGCGTGATGGTGGTTTAGTCCTGGTTTAGTCCTGGTTCTGACCCGGTTCTGGTCTGGTTCTGGTCCGTTTCAGGGCGTGATGGTGGTTTAGTCCTGGTTTAGTCCTGGTTCTGACCCGGTTCTGGTCTGGTTCTGGTCCGTTTCAGGGCGTGATGGTGGGCATGGGGCAGAAGGACAGTTACGTTGGAGACGAGGCTCAGAGTAAAAGAGGAATTCTGACGCTCAAATATCCGATTGAACACGGAATCATCACCAACTGGGACGACATGGAGAAGGTACTGCAAATACTAATACTACAAATACTACTGCAAATACTATTACTGCAAATACTACTACTACTATTACTGCAAATATTAAAACTACAAAACTACTACTGCAAATACTGCAAATACTAACTTACTAAATACTACAAAATACTAACTACTACTACTACAAAAAATACTAACTACTACTACTTACTTGGAAATACTACTGCAAATACTACTACTGCAAATAACTCCTACTACTACTATTACTGGAAATACTACTGCAAAATTCTATTACTGCAAATACTACTTACTATACTACTACTACTGCAAATACTACTACTACTAAATACTACTACTACTACTNCAGAGGACAGACAGAGGACAGAGACAGAGACAGAGACAGAGAGACAGAGGACAGAGAGACAGAGGACAGACAGAGGACAGAGGACAGAGGACAGAGGACAGAGGACAGAGGACAGAGGACAGAGGACAGAGTCCTCAGCTCGGGGACACACTGAGATGTTTCTACAGAAACAGAACTGTGTCCAAATATGGACGTGAACAGAACGAGAACGACTCACAGACAAACACCAAATATGGAACAAGAACGACACGAGAGAAGGAGACGGACGGAAAGAGACGGAGAGAAAGACGGAGAGATAGAGGAGAGATAGAGGGAGAGAGAGAGAGAGAGAGATAGAGAGAGAGAGAGAGAGAGAAAGAGAGAAGAGAAGAGAGAGATAGAGGAGAGAGATAGAGAGAGAGAGAGAGAGAGGAGACAGAGATGGAGGGAGGAGGAGCAACAGAAAAGACAGAGAGAGAGGAGGGGGGGGGAGGGGGAGGGGGGGCTTCCATATTTGAACTTGTTTGTCATTTGTGACTCAGACTCAGCCACAGCCGCCCTGGGACACACTGACACACTGACAGGGACAGACTGACAGGGACAGACTGACAGGGACAGACTGACAGGGACACACTGACAGGGACACACTGACAGACAGACTGACAGACACACTGACTGACACAGACTGACAGGGACAGACTGACAGGGACAGACTGACAGGGACACACTGACAGGGACACACTGACAGGGACACACTGACAGGGACACACTGACAGGGACAGACTGACAGGGACAGACTGACAGGGACACACTGACAGGGACAGACTGACAGGGACACAGACTGACAGGGACACACTGACAGGGACACACTGACAGGGACACACTGACAGGGTGCACCTGTAGATCTTTCTGTTCCTGTCTTAAATCTCTCTCTCTCTTGTTCCACAGAGATCGGTCCTGCTCTGGTCCCAGTCCTGGTCCCGTCCCGCTTTAGTCCTGGTCCCTGGTCCCAGACCCGCTGTAGTCCTGTTGTAGTCCCGGTTTAGTCCTGGTTTAGTCCCGGTTTAGTCCCTGTGATCATGTGTGATGAAGAGGAGAGCACCGCGCTCGTCTGTGATAACGGCTCCGGTTTGTGTAAAGCTGGATTCGCCGGAGACGACGCCCCCAGAGCCGTGTTCCCGTCCATCGTGGGACGTCCCCGGCACCAGGTGAGGCCCAGACCGGCCCCAGACCCAGTGGTTTAGTCCTGGTTCTGACCCGGTTCTGGTCTGGTTCTGGTCTGTTTCAGGGCGTGATGGTGGTTTAGTCCTGGTTTAGTCCTGGTTTAGTCCTGGTTCTGACCCGGTTCTGGTCTGGTTCTGGTCCGTTTCAGGGCGTGATGGTGGTTTAGTCCTGGTTTAGTCCTGGTTCTGACCCGGTTCTGGTCTGGTTCTGGTCCGTTTCAGGGCGTGATGGTGGGCATGGGGCAGAAGGACAGTTACGTTGGAGACGAGGCTCAGAGTAAAAGAGGAATTCTGACGCTCAAATATCCGATTGAACACGGAATCATCACCAACTGGGACGACATGGAGAAGGTACTGCAAATACTAATACTACAAATACTACTGCAAATACTATTACTGCAAATACTACTACTACTATTACTGCAAATATTAAAACTACAAATACTACTGCAAATACTATTACTGCAAATACTAATACTACAAATACTATTACTACTACTATTACTGCAAATACTACTGCAAATACTACTACTACTACTATTACTACAAATACTAATACTACAAATACTCCTACTACTACTATTATTGGAAATACTACTGCAAATACTACTACTGCAAATAATCCTACTACTACTATTACTGGAAATACTACTGCAAATTCTATTACTGCAAATACTATTACTTATACTATTACTGCAAATACTACTGCAAATACTACTACTACTACTATTACTGCAAATACTACTGCAAATACTAATACTGCAAATACTCCCTGAGTGTGTGTTTTGTTTCTTGTGTTTCAGATTTGGCATCATTCCTTTTATAACGAGCTCCGTGTGGCCCCTGAGGAGCACCCCACCCTGCTGACCGAGGCCCCCCTCAACCCCAAGGCCAACAGAGAGAAGATGACCCAGGTACTGCAACGAGTACTGCAAAGGGTACTGCAAAGAGTACTGCAACAAGTACCACGACAAGTACTGCAAAGAGTACTGCAAAGAGTACTGTGAATACATGTATAAATACTGTTGAGAACAAAGTGACTAAAGTTCACTCAGATCCACAGAAACATTTTTCCTCCGATCACGTCGCACTGAACAAACGACTCGATTCAAACTTTTCCACAGTGAATCTACAAAATCAAACACACGAGCAGATCTGAACACCACAGACGCTCCACTAGAGGGCGACACTCTCCTCTGACACACCGACACTAATCCTGCACTGCACTTTTATTTCACTTTTATTTCTACAGCGTCAGAATCTCCTGACGAGGCTCTGAGTCGAGACGAGGACAGAAAAAGAAACAGAAGAAACAGGAGAACAAACTTTTATTTCAAAAACATAAACACACGACACAGAGACGGACGTTTATCCAACTGTAACACAGGAGGCACGTGTAGGAGGTAGGAAGCACGTGTAGGAGGCACATGTAGGAGGCAGGAGGCACGTGTAGGTAGGAGGCAGGCACGTGTAGGAGGAGGAGGAGGAGGCACGTGTAGGGGTGTAGGAGGCACGTGTAGGAGGCACTGTAGGGGCAGGAGGCACGTGTAGGCACGTGTAGGAGGCACATGTAGGAGGCAGGAGGCACGTGTAGGAGGCAGGAGGCACGTGTAGGAGGCACGTGTAGGAGGCACGTGTAGGCACAGGAGGCACGTGTAGGAGGCACATGTAGGAGGCAGGAGGCACGTGTAGGAGGCAGGAGGCACGTGTAGGAGGCACATGTAGGAGGCAGGAGGCACGTGTAGGAGGTAGGAGGCACGTGTAGGAGGCACATGTAGGAGGCAGGAGGCACGTGTAGGAGGCAGGAGGCACGTGTAGGAGGTAGGAGGCACGTGTAGGAGGCACATGTAGGAGGCAGGAGGCACGTGTAGGAGTCAGGAGGCACGTGTAGGAGGCAGGAGGCACGTGTAGGAGGTAGGAGGCACGTGTAGGAGGCTCGTGTCACCTCCAGCCTTCACCTCTTTAGGATCTTGAGGTCATGTCCAGATTCTTCAGAAACTGTTGTGCAAACTTCAAAATGTCTTTTTAGATGTTCAGGATCAAAATCAGCGACAGAAACGACTGAACGTGAAATGTTCACATGAAATAAAGTTAAATATAAATAATAGATAATATTGTATGTAATATTTATCCTCGTGTGACTTTTATCGTGATATTTTATTTATACGGTGATTTTCTAAACAAAGTCACAACGTTTTCTTCACATCAAACAAAATCAAATATGACGTCATGAAAATGAAAAGGATCAAATCAAATATTCAATCCAAACTGTTCGATCGTCTAACGTCGTTTTTCTGCCGCAGATGGAAGTCGCTAGTGTCGCTGCTCGAGTCGCTCGAGTCGCTCGAGTCGCTGCTCGCGTCACCAGACCTGACCATGTGCTTTTTTCAGATCATGTTCGAGACCTTTAACGTCCCGGCGATGTACGTGGCGATTCAGGCCGTGCTGTCGCTCTACGCCTCCGGACGCACCACAGGTCAGAACCACCTCTGGTCCCGGTCTTAGTCCTAGTCCCGGTCTTGGTCCTGATCTTAGTCCTGGTCCCAGTCTTAGTCCTAGTCCTGGTCCTGGCCTTAGTCCTGGTCCCAGTCTTAGTCCTGGTCTTAGTCCTGGTCCCAGTCTTAGTCCTGGTCTTAGTCCTGGTCCCAGTCTTAGTCCCAGTCTTAGTCCTGGTCTTAGTCCCGGTCTGTTCTCAGGCATCGTTCTGGACAGTGGAGATGGAGTGACCCATAACGTTCCGATCTATGAAGGCTACGCTCTTCCTCACGCCATCATGAGGCTGGACCTGGCAGGACGAGACCTCACCGACTACCTGATGAAGATCCTGACCGAGAGGGGCTACAGCTTTGTGACCACAGGTGTGAAACACAGCTGAAACATCACTGAAACACTGCAGAAACACCAGTGAAACATCATGAAACACCAACAAAACACCAGTGAAACAATACCAAAACACCTCTGAAACATCACTGTAACACTGTTGAAACACCAGTGAAACATCACTGAAACATCACAGAAACACCAGTGAAACATTACCAAAACACCTCTGAAACATCACTGTAACACTGTTGAAACACCAGTGAAACATCATTGAAACATCACAGAAACACCAGTGAAACATCACCAAAACACCTCTGAAACATCACTGTAACACTGTTGAAACACCAGTGAAACATCATTGAAACATCACAGAAACACCAGTGAAACATCACCAAAACACCTCTGAAACATCACTGTAACACTGTTGAAACACCACTGAAACATCACAAAACATCACCGAAATCTCTGTTGTGACCCGTTGTGACTCGTTGTGACCCGTTGTGACTCGTTGTGACCCGTTGTGACCCGTTGTGACTCGTTGTGACCCGTTGTGACCCGTTGTGACCCGTTGTGACCCGTTGTGACCGTTGTGACGTTGTGACCCGTTGTGACCCGTGTGACGTGACCGTTGTGACCGTTGTGACCCGTTGTGACCCGTTGTGACTCGTTGTGACCCGTTGTGACCCGTTGTGACCCGTTGTGACCCGTTGTGACTCGTTGTGACCCGTTGTGACCCGTGACCCGTTGTGACCCGTTGTGACTCGTTGTGACCCGTTGTGACCCGTTGTGACCCGTTGTGCGTTGTGTTGCAGCGGAGCGTGAGATCGTGCGGGACATAAAGGAGAAGTTGTGTTACGTGGCGTTGGACTTCGAGAACGAGATGGGCACCGCCGCCACGTCCTCGTCTCTGGAGAAAAGCTACGAGCTCCCGGACGGGCAGGTCATCACCATCGGCAACGAGCGCTTCAGGTGCCCCGAGACGCTCTTCCAGCCCTCCTTCATCGGTACGACCTGAGGGGACCTGGGACGACCATCTGACATGACCTGAGACGGGGAGGGCATCTGACACGACCTGAGACACGGGGGAGGGCATCTGACATGACCTGAGACAGGGGGGGCATCTGACACGACCTGAGACACGGGGAGGGCATCTGACGCGACCTGAGCCACGGGGAGGGCATCTGACATGACCTGAGACACGGGGGAGGGCATCTGACACGACCTGAGACAGGGGGAGGGCATCTGACGCGACCTGAGCCACGGGGAGGGCATCTGACACGACTGAGCCACGGGGGACCGACACTGAGCCACGGGGAGGGCATCTGACACGACCTGAGACACGGGGAGGGCATCTGACACGACCTGAGACACGGGGAGGGCATCTGACACGACCTGAGCCACGGGGAGGGCATCTGACACGACCTGAGCCAGGGGAAGGGCATCTGTAGTAGTAGTATTTGAAGTATTTGTAGTACTTCAGGTATGAAGTCTGCTGTAGTAGTAGTATGTGCAGTAGTATTTGTAGTAGTATTTGAAGTATTTGTGGTACTTCAGGTATGAAGTCTGCTGTAGTAGTAGTATGTGCAGTAGTATTTGTAGTAGTATTTGAAGTATTTGTGGTACTTTAGGGATGGAGTCGGCCGGGATCCACGAGACGACGTACAACAGCATCATGAAATGCGACATCGACATTCGTAAAGATCTTTACGCCAACAACGTTCTGTCCGGAGGAACAACCATGTACCCGGGCATCGCCGACCGCATGCAGAAGGAGATCACCGCCCTCGCCCCCAGCACCATGAAGATCAAGGTACGCACCTGTCACACACATGCACCTGTCACACGCACCTGTCACACGCACCTGTCACACTCACCTGTCACACACCTGTCACACACATGCACCTGTCACACACCTGTCACACCTGTCACACCTCAGGTCATCGCGCCGCTGGAGAGGAAGTACTCGGTGTGGATTGGGCGGTTCTCCTTTAGCCTTGTTTTTAGTTCTGTTCTGTCCTGGTCCTGGTCCTGGTCCTGGTTCTGGTCCTGGCTCTGGTTTTAGTCCTGGTTTTAGTCCTGGGTCTGGTTCTGGTCCTGGTCCTGGTCCTGGTTCTGACCCGGTTCTGTGTCCCTCAGATCATCGCGCCGCCGGAGAGGAAGTACTCGGTGTGGATCGGCGGCTCCATCCTGGCGTCTCTGTCCACGTTCCAGCAGATGTGGATCAGTAAACAGGAGTACGACGAGGCCGGTCCGTCCATCGTCCACCGCAAATGCTTCTAAAAACTACAACTACCACTGGTCCCGCTCCACTTCCTGTCCCCGCCCCACACTTCCTGTCCCTCGTCCAATCACAGTGCAGAGCTCTGAAAGGGCCGCTCCCATTGGTCTGTAACCTGCACCTGAGCGTTTGAATAAACGAAGCTCTTTGACTCTTTGTGTCTTTGTGTTTTTATGAAACGGTTCAAAAGTCAAACCACCTGATGACATCAGCAGGTGTAACAGAGTCTCCAGAGTGTCTCCGGGGACACTGCACTAGAACAGATTAAAGCACCACTGCGGGACATTTCACACATTACAACAGGTTTCATATGAAATGAATGAGTCAGAAGTGAAAAAGTGAAAATAAAACTTTATTATTTTAGAGACGTTTCAGTCTTTGGTTTGGACCCAGAGCTTCAGGAAAAACATAAAACACAAATAAAATCAAACAAGTGCAAAACACAAACCCGCCTCAAACATGACGACAAGTCGACTTTTATTATTATTATTATTATTATTATTATTATTATTATTATTATTATTATTATTATTATTTTATTATAACACTGCTGTGGTACCCACACTCGACCAACACGCGGCTGGTCCTGATCTAGACCCGATTCAGTCCTGATCTAGTTCTAGTCTAGACTTGGTTCAGTCCTGGTCTAGACCCAGGTTAGTCCTGGTCTAGTCCTGGTCTAGACCTGGTTCAGTTGTCTGTGGAAGTCCTGGATGAGCAGATCGAAGTCCTTCAGACTCAGACGACAATTAAACGGAGCCTCCAGGTCCAGGACCTCCTCCTCCACAGGACCTGAGGACATTTAACAAAGACTTGAGGACCTGAGGACATTTAACAAAGACTTGAGGACCTGAGGACATTTAACAAAGACCTGAGGACCTGAGGGCATTTACACACAGGACCTGAGGACCTGAGGGCATTTACACACAGGACCTGAGGACCTGAGGACATTTAACAAAGACTTGAGGACCTGAGGGCATTTAACAAAGACTTGAGGACCTGAGGACATTTAACAAAGAGCTGAGGACCTGAGGGCATTTACACACAGGACCTGAGGACCTGAGGGCATTTACACACAGGACCTGAGGACCTGAGGGCATTTAACAAAGACCTGAGGACCTGAGGACATTTACACACAGGACCTGAGGACCTGAGGGCATTTACCAAAGACCTGAGGACCTGAGGACATTTACACACAGGACCTGAGGACCTGAGGCAGAACAGAGAGGAGGAGAGTACTGTGGCCGACCGGGGAAAGTCTCAGTTTGAGAAAACAGCTTCAAGTCGAGACATGATGCAAATTTACAAAGTTGAACACGAAGTTTAAACGAAGACCAAAAATCGAGGAGCAAATGAAAAAAAAAACAAGAAACAAAGAGAAACGAGTCATCATAAATGCGCCACAAAAAAGAATCAGAATCTATTTGTCCTTCCAGAATAAAAAATACACAGAATCAAAACAAAAAAAACACAAAATGATGAAAAAAAATGTATTTGCCGAATAACGACACAACGACACGGAGATGAAGAAAATGACCTGAGAAGTTTCACTGTGTCTTTCCAAACGTTTTCCTGGTTTGTGACGTAAACGTGAACAGAGCTTCATCATAAATCTGCCCCATCACCAAATCTTCAACCAACAAGAACCACAAACAAACATTCTTCAAGAACAATTTATCCACAACGATCAAGAGAAGAAAGAACAAAACTTAAAGGAAACAATGAGCCACATCAGTCACACAACAAACTCAACTCATGTTCTGATCATGAAGAAAACAGAAGAACAGTTTCCAGTGTAAATGTGTCATGTTGATGTTTAATAGTGAATAATGTGTCATGTTTTACAGACGCTGACGCCTCTGTGACTCGCTGTGGTTCTTATATTTACTTTCGAGTGTTCGCTAAAACCAGACGCTGTCGGCATTTTTGTTTAATGGTGGGAGACCTTTTTCCTCTAGGAGCATAATGTCAGGGTTTTTTTGTCATTATTATTTTGTACGACCATAAACAGGAAAAAAAATAAAAAATTTAATTTGCATTGTGATTTATTTTGATACGATCATAAACCATAAACTTCTGTGTTTCTTTATTATTATTATTATTATTACTCCATCCATCCATCCATTTTCGTCCGCTTATCCGGGCCGGGTCGCAGGGGGAGCAGCCTAAGCAGGGACTCCCAGACTTCCTTCACCCCAGACACGTCCTCCAGCTCCTCCGGGGACCCCGAGGCGTTACTATTATTATTATTATTAGTTTTTCTCGTCCAGTGTTTTTTTCATTTGCTCCTCGTTCTTTGTTTCTCATTTAAACTTGTGTTTGACTTTGTGACTTGTGTTAGTGTTAGAGTTAGTGTGTTAGTGTGTTAGTGTGAGTGTGTTAGTGTGAGTGTGTTAGTGTGTTAGTGTGTGTTAGTTTGTGTGTTAGTGTGTTAGTGTTGATGTTTAGTGTGTTAGTGTGTTAGTGTTAGTGTGTTAGTGTGAGTGTGTTAGGTGTTGGGTGTTAAAGTGTTAGTGTTAGTGTTAGGTGTTAGGTGTTAGTGTTAGTGTTAGTGTTGAGTGTGTTAGTGTGTTGGGTGTTAGAGTGTTAGTGTTAGAGTGTTAGGTGTTAGAGTGTTAGAGTGTTAGTGTGTTAGTGTGAGTGTGTTAGAGTCTTAGGTGTTGGGTGTTAGAGTGTTAGGTGTTGGGTGTTAGAGTGTTAGGTGTTGGGTGTTAGAGTGTTAGTGTGGGTGTTAGAGTGTTAGGTGTTGGGTGTTAGAGTGTTAGATGTTGGGTGTTAGAGTGTTAGGTGTTGGGTGTTAGAGTGTTAGGTGTTAGTGTGAGGATCATGTCTGGACTTGAAGCGTTTTTCTCAGAGATTCTTTGGGCCGTTGCGTTTGGCCTCGTCGGTCGTTTGGCCTCGTCGGTCGTTTGCGTCGTCGGCCTCGTCGGTCGTTTGGCCTCGTCGGTCGCCGTACAACGGGAAGCTCACTCACCTGGCGCCCTCTGCTGGTAACGGCTCCAGTCTCCCGCCTGTCTGTGTGTGAGGTCCCGCGCCCTGCACCTGGGCTCCGGAGAGGCCCCGCCCACCGCCTCAGGTGAACTGTCTCTGGCTCCGCCCTCTTCCTCCTGTGTGGCCTGAGGAGGCGGGGCTAACACACACACCCAGACACACACACACACAGAGACACACACACACACACACACACAAAGTCAGTATGAACCTCATTTGAACAGAACAGAGTGTGAATGTCTCTCTGCAGGGGGCACATGCACACTATGACTTTAGAACCATTTCATGCTCAAGCAGCATCGTGTACGGTTTAATGTCAGGGCTGTGAGGGGCGGGGCTGTGGGGCTGGGGCGGGGCTGGTGGGCGGGGCTATGGGCTGGGGCGGGGCTGTGGGGCGAGGGGCGGGGCTGGGGAGCGGGGGGAGACATTCGGACGCAGCCTTGTGATGTCACACTGTACCTGGCCAATGAGAGAGCAGGAAGTGCAGCGCCTCGATGTGCTGTTTGAAGTCCACACCGGGCGCCGATTGTCTCGTCTCCGCGGCGCCGCGCTCACATCGGTCGGTCTGAACGGAGGCGAAGAGGACGGCGCCGAAACACACGGCGAGATTCTGAGCCGACATTTTGTTTAACGAACTGAAGCTGGAGACGAGAGACAAGTGATCCAACAGGAATGACAGGGTCGCCTGGAACAAGAGACTCAGGTCAGGCTCAAGTCAGACTCAGGTCACACTCAGGTCAGGCTCAGGTCACACTCAGGTCAGGCTTAGGTCAGGCTCAGGTCACACTCAGGTCAGGCTCAGGTCAGGCTCAGGTCAGGTTCAAGTCAGGCTCAGGTCAGGCTCAGGTCAGTCAGGCTCAGGTCAGGCTTCAGGTCACACTCAGGTCACACTCAGGTCAGAGTCTCCGTGGAAACGTAAAACCTGAGCTGCAGTACTCACCCTGGACACTGGGGGGAGACACTGCAGCAGTTGTACGGGGTCTGGGGTCACACAGGGGTCAGAGGTCATGACCTCTTTCACGGCTTCGTACAGAGACGGAGTGATGAGCGGAGACGGAAGCTCACGCAGGTAATCCTTCAGTACTCCTGAAAGTACAAGTACAAGTACTACTCAAATACATGAGTAGTGCTCAAATATACTACTGTGTACTTCTGCTAAAGTATGACAGGTAATCAAAGTACAAGTACTACTGAAATACATGTGTACAAGTACTGCTCAAATTCACACATGTGTAGAGGTTGTGTCCTGCAGGTGGCGCTCTACAGCTGCTCTGTGTGTAATCTGATGAAACTGTCGCTTAAAAAATCTGAAAAACCCAAACAGCTTTGATACACGTGTTTATAACATGTGTTAATAAACAGAACACGTGTTTATAACATATAACATGTGTTAATAACACAATTAAACACAGAGTGACTGTAGGGGGCGCTCTGTGTGGCTCTGACTCTTCTGACACACTGTCCAGTCCCAACATGGCCGCCCTCCAGACACTTTGTGTTGCATTTTTGTATGAGAAGTGTTTTATAAATAAAGTTTGACTTGATTTGATTCTTTGGCCTGACATGTTCCAATATCACCTGTCACACCTGTCATGGCAGGGCTCACCTGTCACGGCGTGCAGGTCCGGACACTCCTGCAGCTCCACCGACGAACTGTCCGACTCAAAACTGTCTCTGAGGAATTTCTTCAAAGACGACGATCCACAAAGTCTGTACACGCCCTGGACCTGAAACCAGACCAGGACTAAGACCAGGACTAAGACCAGGACCTGAAACCAACCAGACCACTGAAACCAGACCTACCTGGACCTGAAACCAGACCAGGACTAAGACCAGGACCTGAAACCAGACCAGGACTAACACCAGGACCTGAAACCAGACCAGGACTAACACCAGAAATAAGACCAGGACCTGAAACCAGACCAGGACTAAGACCTGGACCTGAAACCAGACCAGGACTAAGACCAGGACTAAATCATGATTAAACAAGAACTAAACCAGGTCTATATTAGGACTAAGGCAGGACTGAACCAGTTCTAGACCCGGTCTAGACTCGGTCTCACCTTGAGTCCTCTGCGGTTGATCTCGGACACAGTCTTCTGGAGGATCAGAGGGATGGGTTTTTCTGAGGACTCTCTTTGGACCAGGTCTGTAAGCTCCGCCCCAAACACCTGAGCCCCGCCCCCTGCGTCCTCACCTGCCTGTGGGGGAGGGGGGAACTCAGGTCAGACTCAGGTCAGACTCAGGTCACAAACAGAAACATCAGGTCTTCACTTTGTCGTCATTCAGTGCAGAGACTTGATGATCAGGACTCGACCGATATGGATTTTGCTGTGGTCGATATGATATCGATAAAACAGGAGTTAGAGCTGTCGATATAATTGTCGATATATTTAGTGATGTAAAAATTCATTGTAATTGTCGAATTGTTTAAAACATTTTGGTTTGTCTCTGGTGGATTTTAAATTGTGTTTATTTAGGAAACATTTCTTGTTCTTGTGCCTCTTTACGTCAGATTTACAGACAGTAGGACAAATGACATTTTTACAGCGTCACATTCCAGCAGCGAGTAAAGAAAGTAAACTAGCGCTGTTAGCCTTTAGCCTGTAAATGCTGCGCGCCTGCCGGGTAATTATATATATGTGTAAATGTTGATCATTCACACCTCTGTTCACAGCTCATTTACATCAGTGCAGCTCCAGTCACAAATATATGAACAATACACTCACTTATAGAGGAAATCCTGATGTGGAGTCACATTTACCTGTAAACTGGATTAAATCAACAGAATGTAGAGTCTGAGATTTAGAACCACATAGAACCTGCCCACGGGAAATATCCACACAGATCAGAAAACATATTCGATATGTTTCCAAGAGCCAATATCGGCCAATAATATTGGCCAACCGATATATCGTTCGGGCTCTAATGACGACGTTGTCTGTGTGAGCTGTGATTGGTCGGGGGGGTGTGATGTTGTCTGTGTGAGCTGTGATTGGTCGGTGGGGTGTGATGTTGTCTGTGTGAGCTGTGATTGGTCGGTGGGGTGTGATGTTGTCTCTGTGAGCTGTGATTGGTCGGTGGGGTGTGATGTTGTCTGTGTGAGCTGTGATTGGTCGGTGGGGTGTGATGTCGTCTGTGTGAGCTGTGATTGGTCGGTGGGGTGTGATGTCGTCTGTGTGAGCTGTGATTGGTCGGTCACCTGCAGCGTCAGTCGCAGGAGCAGAGTTCCTCTCGGCTCCAGAGTCAGAACCACATCCTGAGTCTGAGAACCTGAAAGAAAACAGGAAAACAGGACAGTGAGGGAGGGTGTGTGTGTTGTGTGTGTATAGTGTTGTGTGTGTGTGTGTTGTGTGTTTGTACCTGTGAACATTGAGGTTAAACTTGTTCCTCCTGCTGCACAGAGTCTGGTCCTGGAGACGGACTTCACCTGCGGATCTGGACTCACTGAGAACAGAGACCAGGACTAAACCAGGACTAAACCAGGACTGGACCAGGACTGGACCAGGACTGGACCAGGTATCTGGTTTAGTCCTGGCTTAGGACCAGGTTCAGAGGGACCTGGTATTGGTGCAGTGACCTGCGCTCACCTCAGGTCGTATTTGTTTATTTATTTATTTATTTACACATTTAGCTCCGCCCACTGTGGCCACAGACCTGCTCCTGTCAAACTGCACCTGACCTGCTCCTGTCACTGACATCAAAGTCAAACAAACATGTGCCCCACCCCCTCAGTGAAAGCCCCGCCCCCTCAGTGAAAGCCCCGCCCACACAGTGTGATACTGAACATTTTGGGAGTTTCTCTCTGTTCACCAGAGTCTCACCTCAGGTCAGGAGCTCCTCACCTGTCCTTCACCTGTCTCTCACCTGTCCCTGTCCCTCACCTGTCCCTGTCCTTCACCTGTCCCTCACCTGTCCTTCACCTGTCCTTCACCTGTCCTTCACCTGTCCCTGCCCCTCAGGTCTCACCTCGGGTCAGGAGCAGGACTCGGAGCTTCTGAGCGCGCTCCAGCTGCAGGTGGAAGGCGTGGTCGAGCCGGAGGGCGGGGCCTGTCATCGTCATGCCGGCGGTGCGGGCCCTGATGACATCATCCACCTGTATCACCACAGAAACGCACCTGGACACGCCCGACCTGAAGCACACGCCCACATGACAGAGTGCACTGCTCAAGAGCACCACAACACACAGGACTGAACCAGGACTGAACAAGCCGTCTGGTTTAGTCCTGGTTTAGTTCTGGTCTCACCTATGTGTGGGCAGGTCCAGTCTCGACAGGTGCACTGTGAGGACACCTGTCAGGCTGTGGGCGGGGCTATGGGGACTTGGCTCCTCCCTCTGCTGTGATGTCACCTGTTGCCGCGGCGACAGCTCCTCATCGTCACTATGGCGACCTGAGGACAACAGGAAGTGTTTTACTCCGACCAGTGCACGGACCATCATTTAGACCTGGTTTAGTCCTGGTTCAGTCCTTGTTTTGAATCCAGACTTAAAGCGTCGTGTAAACGTGGCCAGTGACTCACTTTAGATTCGGCCAATCACGTGCGAGCTGTGCCCAAACTACAGTTACCATGGCAACAGCAGCACATCAGGATCTGAGCGTGCTCAGTACGACCCTCACCTCTGCGGCCGCTGTGCTGACGTCTGATTGGACGCTTCCTGGAGGGGGAGGAGCTGTCCTGAGGAGGCGTGTCCTGGGCGGTGGGGGGCGTGTCCTGGCTGCTGTTGCCGTGACGATCGCGGCGAGACTTCAGGCTGAGTTTACGACGAAGCTTCAGCGCCGGAGAACGAAGCCTGTCAATCACGCGCTCGGACACGCCTCCTGGGAGATCGTAAAGGGTCATAAAAGGTCAAAGGTCATAAAAGGTCAAAGGGTCATAAAACCAGATGCCCTTCCTTACCTGAGTGCTCTGGTGTCACTTTGGCTTCAGGTTTGTCCTCTGTGTTCACGACCTGCGTCTGCTCCTCTGTCCCCCCCCCCTGCCCCCTAGCCCCCGCCCCTGCCCCCTGTCCCCGCCCCCCTACCCCCTGTCCCGCCCCCCTGACCCTCCCCGCCCCCCTGCCCCTGCCCCCCCCCCCTGCCCCCTGCCCCCGCCCCCCTGCCCTCTGGCCCCGCCCCCCTGCCCCTGGCCCCTGCCCCCCCTGGCCCCGCCCCCTGCCCTCTGGCCCCTCCTCATCCTCTGGGATTGGGTTGTACCAGATTAGCCCCTCCCCCCGCGGCTCAGGGGGCGGGGCGTGGGCGTGGTCTGACAGGACCCAGGCCCTGCTGCTCCTGTCGAGACTCTGCAGGTACGACAGGCGCCGCGGGGACCGGACAGGGGCGGGACCCGGACCAGGACTTAGACCACGACCGGGACTGGGGCCAGAGGAAGAGCTCGGAGTCCGGCTCAGACCTGCACCTGCCTCATGTCCAGGTGCAGGGCGGGAGCTGTGGGCAGGTGCAGCGGCAGGGGCGTGTGTAGGGGCGGGGGCAGGGGCAGGGGCGCCAGGAGTAACGACTGCAAAACAAATAAACAGTCAGAAAAATCAGGTTTATTTATGTCACATTTCCTCGTCACAAACTGAAAACACCTTGTGATGTCATCATGTGGTGATACAGGAAGTGCTCCACTGTGTTTTTAAACTCCACACACAACAACAGAACAACAGAACAGTCCCAGTCCAAGACCTGAGTCCCAGTCCAGACCTGAGTCCCAGTCCAGACCTGAGTCCCAGTCCAGACCTGAGTCCTGGTCCTGGTCTCAGATAAACTCTCACATGTTTCTACAGTAAACACAGACCATCAGCGTGCACACTCCTCACGTGCACGAGCAGAGTGCGTGTGTCTCTCTCTGTGTGTGTGTGTGTGTGTGTCTGTGTGTGTGTGTGTGTGTGTGTCTGTGTGTGTGTCTGTGTGTGTGTCTGTGTGTTTGTGTGTGTGTGTGTCTGTGTGTGTCTGTGTGTGTCTGTGTGTGTGTCTGTGTGTGTGTCTGTGTGTGTGTGTGTGTGTGTGTGTGTGTGTGTTGGGGGGGGCAGAACAGAGACACTACTGAGAAACGTGCACTCTCAAATGTGCACGTGCACACACAGGGAAACACTGAAACCCATTCACTAAACACAAACCAGAACTAAACCAGAACTAGACCAGGTCTAAACCAGGACTGAACCAGGTCTAAACCAGGTCTAAACCAGGTCTAAACCAGGACTAAACCAGGACTAAACGTTGGTGACAGTGAATCTCAGAGACACACAGGAAACGTGCACACTCCTCACGTGCACACTCCTCATGTACTAATGACAGGAAACACACGATTACACAATTTACTCCAAAATCCCCACCGGCACTGACCTACTTTAGACCTGGTTTAGTCCTGGTTTAGACCTGGTTTAGTCCTGGTTTAGTCCTGGTTTAGTCCTGGTTTAGTCCTGGTTCAGTCCTGGTTTCAGTCCTGGTTTCAGTCCTGGTTTAGTCCTGGTTTAGTCCTGGTTTAGTCCTGGTTTCAGTCCTGGTTTAGTCCTGGTTCAGTCCTGGTTCAGTCCTGGTTTAGTCCTGGTCTTACCTTGGGGTCTTGGTCCGCTTTTGTTTCTGAATCTTGACAGAGTTCTCTTCAGCAGCGGTTCTGCCATAACTCCATGAGAACGACACAAAACTCAACTCAGCACAACTGCAAAAAATACTGCAAAAGTACTGCAAAAATATTACAAAAGTACTGCAAAAGTACTGCAAAAAATACTGCAAAAGTACTGCAAAAATATTACAAAAGTACTGCAAAAGTACTGCAAAAATACTGCAAAAGTACTGCAAAGGTATTGTGAAAAATACTGCAAAAGTACGACTAAAATACTGTGAAAATACTGTATAACCAGGATGAACCATAAACACAGAGACCTCCTCAGACCCCGTCTCTGGTCTCTGGTATCTGGTCCGGTCTTGTCTTTGGTCCGGTCTCTAGTCCCTGGTCTCTAGTCTCTAGTCCTTGGTCTCTGGTCTCTGGTCTCTGGTATCTGGTCTCTGGTCTCTGGTCTCTGGTATCTGGTCCGGTCTGGTCTCTAGTCCCTTGTCTGGTCTCTGGTCTTTGGTCCGGTCTCTAGTCCCTGGTCCATGGTCTCTGGTCTCTGGTCTGGTCTGGTCTCTAGTCCCTGGTCTGGTCTCTGGTCTCTGGTCTCTGGTCTCTGGTCTCTGGTCTCTGGTCTGTGTGAGTCTGTGTGTTTCCTGAACAGGAAACAAATTCTTCACATTCTTGAGTCCCTCCTCGGAGCAAAGGATTCTGGGAAATGTAGGCGCGGAGGAGGAGATGTGTTCAGGAGAAACACCAAAACTGAACGTGAAAAAACAAACAAAACACGAGAAACAAAAAGTCCAGAGTCACAGAGTCAGAGCCAGAGTTTGAGCTTCACACAAAAGTCGAGTCTTTCTACACTTTCATTTACAAAAACAAACACAAAGTCGACATTTGTGAAGCTCAAATAAGATTCTGAGTTTAGAAAACTGTGTTTTTCCTCCTGAACAAAGAAGCAAAAGAACAAATATTTTTCCTTGGAAAAAACAGTCTAAACACAGACCCAGATTTACAGATAAAGGTTTAAAAAACAGAAACATGTTTAAATAAAAATATTTTATATATTTATTATAATTCAAATGTATTTTTGTTTATTTGGACAGTAAAAGATTTAATCGAAAATAAATACTTCTTTTCTATAACAATAAATAAAAGTAAATGTCCCACAGATTTTACTTGTGTCCAAAAAGGAGAAGGAGTCATATTTGAATAATTTAGTAGGAATAGTTATTTTAAAAATGTTTCATGAGCACAGCCCCTCTGATTCTTCTGATTCTTCTGATTCTTCTGATGATTCTTCTTCTTCTTTTTCTTCTGTTCATGTTTTTATCTGTCATGTGTAATACCGTTTCTGTCCACCAGAGGCCCCTGTTGTTCCTGTTGTTCCCAGTGGGTGCAGTTCCCTCAGGCTCCAGCAGATGGCGCTGTGCTGCAGTACCGCGCTGGGCCTGGGGGGGGCGCTGTGCCGTGACTCACAGCACAGGTGCATTCTGGGAGACAGAGGAGGCAGAAGGATGCTGCTGTCACTCTGCTCCTTGTCTCCTTTCCTCCATCCTCGCCTCCTGCGTCCTCACTCCTACCCCTCCTCCCTACCCCCTTGTCTCCTACCCCCTCATCTCCTAGCTCCTGTCTCCTACCCCCTCGTCTCCTAGCTCCTGTCTCCTCGTTTCCTTTCCTCACTGCAGAGGAGCAGCTCAGAGGCTAAAGCACGAACGAGCTAACAGTGAGCCCATTCATCTCTATGTGTGTGTGTGTGTGTGTGTGTGCGTGTGTGTGTGTGTGTGTGTGTGTGTGTGCGTGTGTGTGTATGTGTATGTGTGTGTATATGTGTGTATAATGTGTGTATATGTGTGTGTGTGTGTGTAGATCTACACTGAGGAACATCTGAGGAACCTGGAGAACATGCAGGAGCCCAGAGTCCAACACACGCCGTGAGTACTACAACTACTTCATCCTGTACAGTACTGTGTACTTATATTACAGTACTGCTCCTGTGTACTTATACTACAACCCTGTGTACTTATACTACAGTACTGTGTACTTATACTACAGTACTGTGTACTTATACTACAGTACTGCTCCTGTGTACTTATACTACAACCTTGTGTACTTATACTACAACCCTGTGTACTTATACTACAGCCCTGTGTACTTATACTACAGTCCTGTGTACTTATACTACAGTATAAGTACATATACAGTGTGTGCAGTTCAGACCCGGTTTAGACCCGGTTTTGTTTTTTACAGGAAGTTGAGTCCCGGCTCAGGGGGCGGGGCCGTGTTTGATTGACAGCTGTCACTTCAGGATCATGGCCAAAAAAGGCAATGGGGGGCGGGGCAAAGCCGACTCCATGGCGACGCTGCAGGCGGCCAATGAGGAGCTCCGATCTAAGCTGACGGAGATTCAGATCGAACTGCAGCAGGAGAAGACCAAGGTACTTTTACTACAAGTACTACTATTACTACTACTACTACTGCATATACTACTACTACTGCTGTATAAATAAAAGCCCAGAGTACTGCATATACTCTGTTGAGCTCTGAATACGACCACAGACTCTGTAGAGAAACGACATGTTTCACACAGACGACGTCGGTCACTGATGTTACAGACTGGACTTTAACAGTTAAAGCTGCTGCGCTCACGTGGACTTTTGTTTGTGTTTCACTCCTGACTAGAAGTAAATTTGGAGGCACCACTCAACAAATGTTGAGAAATATTACCAAAAAATTTAATCAATTACCTACGTTAATTAATTAATTAATTAAACAGTTGATCTGAAGGTTCATAAATTCTTGTCCATATCAGTGACCTGCATATTTTGAAATGACATCAGTGGAAATAACATCACTATTCACCAAAACAAACTGTGGTTTATGAATATTTATTGACCAAGTGAAACAGAAATATTTAAATATCAAATATGTAAATGAGGAGGTCGAACTAAACCGGAGTCTAGAAATATGAGGCACAACTTGAAGAGTTTATCTAAAGTTCTGTGTCGAGTCTAAATTGATAAAGTTTGTGGTTCTGTGACAGTGAGTCACAACCCGGGGAGCGTGGACATGTCCAGTCTCCATGTGCTCCTCACACGTCCAATGAAGGTTTGAGTTTCTCAGGACGTCGGTTCTGAAAAAATCAAACACAATGAAACGGACGAAGGTCACGTGATCTAAACAAGACTTCAGGTTGAGTCGGTGTCAGGCTGAAGGACGCTGTCCTCTGCTCCAGAGGATCAGACGACTCGCTTCAGTGTCACGAGGTCTGAGCAGCGCTGCTCACAGATTAAGACTCATCAGTCAAAAAGACGATGTCTGTAAAAATGTCAATATTTAAATTTGCAAAAATATGAAATCTTCACTTTCAAATCAGATCAGCTCCAGGTATTTGAATAAAAACAGGTCAGGTGACGAGCACAACTTTGAACAGAGGGAGAACTTGGGCGTCGTCCCTCCTGTTCGGCTCGACTACATCTGGAACATTCTGAGCTGAACTGCTTCTGCGATCTTCTGCTCTGAACTGAGATCTGAACTGAGTCTGTTTTTCTCCTCTTAAATCTGAAGTTAGGCGGGACAGACTGACCAGTGAGGTGTGTGTCTGTGTGAGCGATGATGTGAAGAATGGGAGTTAGTTGAGTTTGTGTGTTATGTCACAGCTCTCATATTACAAACTCTGAACATGAACAGTTTTACACAAATCAAGTTTTCACATGACATTTACAGGTCAGTATTAAAACACACTGACCATAGTTCATTGAATGAATCGACTGTTTCATTCCTTTTCTTTCTCTGGAGAAAGTTCATTGGCTTGAGATTTAGAGATTGTTCCATCAAAATCCCACAGTGTCTTTAATTTGTCGATTAAAGTCGGTGAACAAACTTCAGTTGATCGATTTATCAATAGGTGAAACTTTATAGAAAAGTTAGTTTGTAAAAAGAAGATCTTTAATCTTTGAAAGTGTTTGTGTGATACAGGTGAGTCGTCTGGAGCAGGAGACTCAGGAGGTGAAAGTCGAGCACCATCGTTCTCACGCTCTGAGAGGACAAGGAACTCTAGAAACTGTAGTAGCAGCAGTGGTATAAGTAGTCATAGCAGTAGGAGTAGTACTTTGATAGTAATAGTAGTACTTTGATAGTAGTAGTAGTACTTTGTGTGTGTACAGGTGAGTCGTCTGGAGCGGGAGAAGGCTCAGGAGGTGAAGGCGGAGCATCATCGTTCGGCGGCCGCGCTCACGTCGCTCAGGTCCAAACTCCACGAGGAGAAACTCAGAGAAGTGGGCGGAGTCAGGGAGCAGTTACTACGGCAACACGAGATGGAGCTGATGAGAGTCATCAAAATAAAAGACCAAGAAATCCACCGACTCAACGCGCTCGTTTCCAGCCTCCAGCAGGGCTCCACCGACAAGGTACTACTACTACTACAAATACTACAAATACTACTGTCATAATACTATTACTACTATTACTGTTATTACACTCTTGTTACTGTTGTCGGTGTAATTTTTATATTTTCCGTGTCTTGTTTCAGTTTTCAATTAATAAATTTACCAGGTTTAGTCCTGGTTCTGACCCGTTTTTTCCTGCACGTCCCAGTTCTGACCTGGTGTCCTGGTCGTGACCCGATTGTGACCCGGTTGTGACCTGGTTGTGACCGGTTGTGACCCGGTTGTGACCCGGTTGTGACCCGGTTGTGACCCGGTCCTGACCCGGTTGTGTCCTGGTTCTGACCCGCAGGTGCGCTCGTCTCTCCTGTCGGACCTGGAGGAGGGCAGGAGGTCCTGGGAGGTGGAGCGGTCCCGTCTGCAGCAGGAGGTTCTGGAGCTGCGCGGGTCCAAGAGGAGCTCGGAGGAAGCGCTGAGCTCGGCCCAACAGGAAGTCCAGGCCCGGTCCACAGAACTCCGCAACGCCCACTACAGGCACCAGGAGGAACTGCAACGCAGCAGGAGGGAGAGCGAGAGGGAAATACGACGACTGGTGAGGAAGAGAGAGAGAGGGAGGAGGAGGAGGAGGAGGGAGGGCATCAGGAGTAATGAGGAGGGAGAGATTACCTGTAGTACTTGTGTATTTCAGATGGAGGAGATCCAGTCTCTCTTGTGTAGTACATGTAGTACTCGTAGTACCCGTAATCCTTGTAGTACCTGTAGTACTTGTAGTACTCGTTGTACTGGTGTATTTCAGATAGAGGAGATCCAGTCTCTCTTGTGTAGTACCTATAGTACTCGTAGTACCTGTAGTACCTGTAGTACTTGTAGTACCTGTAGTACTTGTAGTACCTGTAGTACTCGTAGTACCTGTAGTACCTGTAGTACTTGTAGTACCTGTAGTACTTGTAGTAACTGTAGTACTCGTAGTACTGGTGTATTTCAGATGGAGGAGATCCGGTCTCTCTTGTGTAGTACCTGTAGTACTCGTAGTACCCGTAGTACCTGTAGTACTTGTAGTACCTGTAGTACTCGTAGTACCTGTAGTACCTGTAGTACCTGTAGTACCTGTAGTACTCGTAGTACTGGTGTATTTCAGATGGAGGAGATCCGGTCTCTCTTGTGTAGTACCTGTAGTACTCGTAGTACTGGTGTATTTCAGATAGAGGAGATCCAGTCTCTCTTGTGTAGTACCTATAGTACTCGTAGTACCTGTAGTACCTGTAGTACTCATAGTACCTGTAGTACCTGTAGTACTTGTAGTACCTGTAGTACTTGTAGTAACTGTAGTACTCGTAGTACTGGTGTATTTCAGATGGAGGAGATCCGGTCTCTCTTGTGTAGTACCTGTAGTACTCGTAGTACCTGCAGTACCTGTAGTACCTGTAGTACCTGTAGTACCTGTAGTACTCGTAGTACTGGTGTATTTCAGATGGAGGAGATCCGGTCTCTCTTGTGTAGTACCTGTAGTACTCGTAGTACCTGCAGTACCTGTAGTACCTGTAGTACCTGTAGTACTCGTAGTACTGGTGTATTTCAGATGGAGGAGATCCGGCTGAAGGATCGGGCCGTCTCGGTTCTGGACAAAGCTCTGGGTCTTCAAGCGGGACACGCCCACAGGCTCCAGCTGCAGACGCAGGCAGCCGAGCAGCAAATCGCAGCTCTACGAGATGCCCAGAGGGCGGGGCCAGGACCCGGACCGGCCAATCAGAGTGTAAGACTCACACAGAGGGTGGGGCCAGGGGCAGGACAGACCAATCAGAGATGAGAAAGGTGGAGAAGAGTCTGGGGCAGAGACTCGACCCCTGAGGGACTCAGACTCAGACACAAAAATGAGGGAATCTAACCCCAAACCCTAAAAGAGCAGAGCCCAGAGTCTGGGTCACGTAAGTCTGGGTTATACATGTATTTTATATAAAGTATTATATAATGTCTGTTTTGTTTGCGGCAGGTTCCAGACGACAGAGACCTGCGTCGATTTCAGCTGAAAATCGCTGAGCTCAGTTCAGTCGTCAGAAAACTGGAGGATCGGAACTCACTGCTGTCGGAAGAACGAAACGAACTGGTACCACATCTATATATGTTTATATAACAACATATATACTGATAAAAAACAAATGTGTTTCTCATCTTCCACGGTGGTTGGTCTCACCCTCATTCAGCTCGGGTCGTCTACCAGAGGCCTGGGAGCTTGAGAGTTCTGCACAGTATCTTTGCTGTTCTGTCTGTCTGTGTTTTTGTCTGTATCTGGAAGTCCAGATAACTGACAGACACAGGGATATATACATATACATATATATATATATATATATATGTATATATATATATATATATATATATATATATATATATATATATATATATATATATATATATATATGTATATGTTTATATAATACAGTATATACTGATATATACACCGATATATACACATATGCTCGTCAGCGAGCTTCTGGTGGCTGGGCCTTCCCCCACGGGGCCGACCGGGCTTCAGCCCGAAGGAGCGACGTGGGGCCGTCCTCACGTGGGCCCACCACCCGCAGGAGGATCCATATGGGGCCGGTGCAAAGAGATCTGGGCAGCAGTCAACGGCGGGGGCCTCAGCGACCGGATCTCCGGACATGGAGACTGTGGCTCTGGGGACATGGAATGTCACCTCGCTGGGGGGGAAGGAGCCTGAGCTTGTGCGGGAGGTTGAGCGTTACCGACTAGATATAGTCGGCCTCACCTCCAGCACAGTTTGGGCTCTGGAACCCAACTCCTTGAGAGGGGCTGGACTCTCCATTTCTCTGGCGTTGGCCGCGGGAGCGGCGGCGGGCTGGTGTGGGCTCATTGCCCCACAGCTCAGTCGCTGTGTGTTGGAGTTCACCCCAGTGAACGAGAGGGTCGCGTCCCTGCGCCTTCGGGTCGGGGACAGGTCTCTCACTGTGGTGTCGGCCTACGGGCCGAACAGCAGTGCAGAGTACCCGGCCTTCTTGGAGTCCTTGGGAGGGGTACTAGACAGTGCACCGACCTGGGGACTCCGTTGTTCTCCTGGGGGACTTCAACGCCCACGTGGGCAACGACAGTGACACTTGGAGAGGGGTGATTGGGAGGAACGGCCTCCCCGATCTGAACCCGAGCGTGTTTTGTTATTTGACTTTTGTGCTAGTCACAGTTTGTCCATAACGAACACCATGTTTCGAGCACAAGGGTCCATAAGTGCACGTGGCACCAGGACACCCTCGGCCGGAGGTCGATGATCGACTTTGTAGTCGTGTCATCTGATCTCCGGCCGCGTGTCTTGGACACTCGGGTGAAGAGAGGGGCTGAGCTGTCAACTGATCACCACCTGGTTGTGAGTTGGGTTCGCTGGCGGAGGAGGAAGCCGGAAAGACCTGGCAGGCCCAAGCGTGTAGTGAGGGTCTGTTGGGAACGTCTGGCGGAGCCTCTGTCAGAGGGACTTTCAACTCGCACCTCCGGGAGGACTTCTCCCGGATTCCGGGGGAGGCTGGAGATATGGAGTCCGAGTGGGCTTCATTCTTGGCCTCTATTGTCGATGCGGCTGCTCGGAGCTGTGGGCGTAAGGTCTGTGGTGCCTGTCGCGGCGGCAACCCCAGAACCCGGAGGTGGACACCGGAAGTAAGGGATGCTGTCAAGCTGAAGAAGGAGTCCTATCGGGCCTTGCTGGCTCGGGGGACTCCTGAAGCAGCTGACGGGTACCGGCGGGCCAAGCGTGCTGCAGCCCGTGCGGTTGCGGAGGCAAAAACTCGGAGCTGGGAGGAGTTCGGGGAGGCCATGGAGAAGGACTATCGGACGGCCTCAAAGAGATTCTGGCAAACCGTCCGGCGCCTCAGGAGGAGGAAGCAGTTCTTCACCAGCACTGTTTACAGTGCGGGGGGAGAACTGTTGACCTCGACTGGGGACGTTGTCCGACGGTGGAAGGAATACTTTGAGGATCTCCTCAATCCCACCGTCACGTCTTCCGAGGAGGAAGCCGAGGCTGGGGACTCGGAGGCGGACTCATCCATCACCCTGGCCGAAGTCACTGAGGTGGTTGGAAAGCTCCTTGGTGGCAAGCTCCGAGATCCGTCCTGAGTACCTTAAGTCTCTGGATGTTGTGGATCTTGGCTGACACGCCTCTTCAACATCGCGTGGCGGTCGGGGACAGTACCTCTGAACTGGCAAACCGGGTGGTGGTCCCTCTGTATAAGAAGGGGGACCGGAGGGTGTGTTCCAACTATAGGGGGATCACACTCCTCAGCCTTCCCGGTAAGGTCTATGCCAGGGACTGGAGAGGAGAATCCGGCCGATAGTCGAACCTCGGATTCAGGAGGAGCAGTGTGGTTTTCGTCCTGGCCGTGGAACACTGGACCAGCTCTACACTCTCCATCGGTGCTCGAGGGTTCATGGGAGTTTGCCCAACCAGTCCACATGTGTTTTGTGGATCTGGAGAAGGCATTCGACCGTGTCCCTCGTGGTGTCCTGTGGGGGGTGCTCTGGGAGTATGGGGTCCGGGGCCCTTTGCTAAGGGCTGTCCGGTCCCTGTATGACCGGAGCAGGAGCTGTGTTCATTGCCGGCAGTAAGTCAGACCTGTTCTCGGTGCATGTTGGACTCCGCCAGGGCTGCCCTTTGTCACCGGTTCTGTTCATTGTATTTATGGAAAGAATTTCTAGGTGCAGTCAGGGGCTGGAGGGGGTCCAGTTTGGGGACCACAGGATCTCATCTCTGCTGTTTGCGGATGATGTTTTCCTGTTGGCTTCATCGAACCAGGACCTGCAATGTGCACTGGGGCGGTTTGCAGCCGAGTGTGAAGTGGCTGGGATGAAGATCAGCTCTTCTAAGTCTGAGGCCATGGTTCTCGACCGGAAAAAGGTGTCTTGTCGTCTCCGGGCGGGTGGGGAGTCTTTGCCTCAAGTGGAGGAGTTCAAGTATCTCGGGGTCTTGTTCACGAGTGAGGGGAGGACGGAACGTGAGATTGACAGGCGGATTGGTACAGCTTCGGCAGTGAGGCGGTCGCTGTATCGGACTGTTGTGGTGAAGAGGAGCTGAGCCAAAAGGCAAAGCTCTCGATTTACCTGTCAGTCTTCGTTCCTACTTTCACCTCTGGTCATGAGCTCTGGGTAATGACCGAAAGGACGAGATCACGGATACAAGCACTTGAAATGAGTTTCCTCTGCAGGGTGTCTGGGCACTCCCTTAGAGATAGGGTGAGGAGCTCAGTCACACGGGAGGAGCTCGGAGTAGAGCCGCTGCTCCTCCACGTCGAGAGGAGCCAGTTGAGGCTCGGGCATCTGTTCCAGATGTCTCCTGGGCGCCTCCCTCGGGAGGTGTTCTCTACACTGGAGGAACTATGTCTCTCGGCTGGCCTGGGAACGCCTCGGGATTCCCCCGGAGGAGCTGGAGGACGTGTCTGGGGTGAGGGAAGCCAGGGAGTCCCTGCTTAGGCTGCTGCCCCCGCGACCCGGCCCCGGATAAGCGGATGAAAATGGATGGATGGATTATATACTATATATTTGATGTTATATATATTTGATGTTATAGTTAAAGCGTCTCAGAGACACAGTCTCAGTTTTTGCTGTTTTCTATCTTGTTTACATTTATAATATATATTATATCATATACATTATATATTTTGTCATATATTATATATTTGATGTTATATATTTGATATTATATATATTTGTGTTGTAGTTAAAGCGTCTCAGAGACACAGAGTCTCAGTTTCTTCCGGTTTTGGACAAAAACAAACGTCTGAGTAAAAAGAACGAGGAGTTGGCTCTGAGCGTCCGACGCCTCGGAAACAAACTGCGCTTCGTCACACAAGAAAACATGGAGATACAGGCCATGGTGAGAAGTACTACTACTACTACTACTGCTACTACTACAGTACTACTACAGTACTACTACAGTCAGGAGACATGGAGGTACAGGCCATGGAGAGAAGTACTACTACTACTACTACTGCTACTACTACAGTACTACTACAGTCAGGAGACATGGAGGTACAGGCCATGGAGAGAAGTACTAGTAAAAGTACTGCTACTGTTAATACTTGCAGTTCACTCAGGAGAATGTGGAGATATTTTTATTTTTTTTACTGAAACAGGGACAGAGCAAAGTTTTACATGAACCTGAACAGGAGACATGTTTGTTTGAGATGTTGTAGCACCAGTGATAATTTGCTCCTGTCGTCCCTGTCGTCCCTGTCGTCCCTGGGCAGGTTCATTGATTGTATTAATTGACCTGAGCTGTTCTTCCTGGAGCAGGTTTTGGGTTAGGGTTATTTTTTGGGGTATTTTCCATGACAGACTGATTGTTGTGTCCTTGAGCAACACACTCATTCTAAACATACGTTGTTGTTCGTGATCAGAGGAGACCGTCGTCTCTGAACGACCTGGACCGATCCCACTGCTCCGGTTTCCACGGTTACGGCGTAGACGAGAGAGAAATGGAGTTTCTACGGTTACAGGTGATGGAGCAACAGAACATCATCGACGACCTGAGCAAGGTAACACACACCTGTACACACACACCTGTACACACACACCTGTACACACACACCTGTACACACACACACACACACCTGTACACACACACACACCTGTACACACACACACCTGTACACACACACCTGTACACACACACACCTGTACACACACACACCTGTACACACACACACACACACACACCTGTACACACAACACCTGTACACACACACACCTGTACACACACACACACACACACACCTGTACACACACACACCTGTACACACACACACCTGTACACACACACCTGTACACACACACACCTGTACACACACTGTACACCACACACACACACCTGTACACACACACACACACACACCTGTACACACACACACCTGTACACACACACCTGTACACACACACACCTGTACACACACACACACACACACTGTACACACACACACCTGTACACACACACACCTGTACACACACACCTGTACACACCACACACACACACACCTGTACACACACACCTGTACACACACACACACACGTACACACACACCTGTACACACACACACCTGTACACACACACACTGTACACACACACACACACACACACACCTGTACACACACACACCTGTACACACACACCTGTACACACACACACCTGTACACACACACACACCTGTACACACTGTACACACACACACCTGTACACACACACCCGTACACACACACACCTGTACACACACACACCTGTACACACACACACCTGTACACACACACCCGTACACACACACACTGTACACACACACACCTGTACACACACACCCGTACACACACACACCTGTACACACACACACCTGTACACACACACACACACCTGTACACACACACCTGTACACACACACACCTGTACACACACACCTGTACACACACACACCTGTACACACACACCTGTACCACACACACCCGTACACACACACACCTGTACACACACACACACCTGTACACACACACACACACACACCTGTACACACACACACCTGTACACACACACACCTGTACACACACTTGTATTTTGTAACTCACAAACACATGAGATTTTCAGATGTGGTTATGGGTGATAGAAAACCCAAACTACACACCTGTGACCCCTGTGACCCCTGTGACCTCTGTGACCTCTGTGACCTCTGTGACCCCTGTGACCTCTGTGACCTCTGTGACCTCTGACCCCAGGCCCTGGAAACAGCCGGCTACGTCAAGAATGTGATCGTGAGTATGAGATTACGAAGCCATGACATCACCATGACATCACCATGACATCACCATGACATCACCATGACATCACCATGACATCACCATCATCATCATGACATCATCATCTTCTTGGAGCTCCACAGCCCCGCCCACTCTCTGGTTCCTGAAGAAAATCTTCCGTAAATTTTTCACACAAATGTTCGTAGAAATATGCTAACAGCTACGTGAGTCATCTGTTTTAAGTCGTGACTTTTTTCTCTTTCACATTCATTTATATTTGAAAATTCTGAGAAATTTTAATGAGAGAATTACTTCTGGAACCAGAGGGCGCTGTGGAGCTCAAACCCCCTGACCTCTGACCCTGACCCCTGACCTCTGACCCTCTGTGTCCTCTAGGAACGAGACCTGCTCCTGAGACACAGACGCCAAGACTCACTGAAGAGAAGAAGAACCTTCAGAGCCTGTAGAGTAAGACCAGGACTGAACCAGGACTGAACCAGGACTGAACCAGACTGAACCAGGACTGAACCAGGACTGAAACCAGGACTGAACCAGGACTAAACCAGGACTGAACCAGGACTGAACCAGGACTGAACCAGGACTGAACCAGGACTAAACCAGGTCTAATTGTGTGTCTGTGGTTTCAGGTGATAGAAACGTTTTTCGGTTATGATGAAGAGGCTTCGTTCGACTCAGATGGATCCACTCCCTCGATCCACACAGACCGGACCCCAGACCAGGACCCAGATTCAGAGGTACCAGACCGGGACCCGGACTCAGAGGTACCAGACCGGGACCCGGACTCAGAGGTACCAGACTGGACCCTCTGACAGTAAGAGAAATGTCCAGGATCCTCCTCAAAGGACTCGAAGCTCAAAGAAGAAGACTTGGATGAACTCTGACCTGCTGACCTCTTACCTCTGACCTCTGACCCTCACCCTGTCAGTGTGTGCTCTGATTGGTGGCTGTGTCTCTCTGTGATTGGCTCAGGTGCGTGAGGAGGCGGAGCTCAGGTATCGTCAGTTGAATCAGGAGTACCAGGCTCTGCAGCGAGCGTACGCCCTCCTGTCTCAGACCTGCGGGGGGCGCTACGACCCCGAGACCGAGATCAAGGTCAGAGCTCACCTGTCACCTGTCACCTGTCACCTGTCACCTGTGACCTGTGACCTGTCTATGACCTGTGACCTGCACTACGACCTGTGACCTGCACTACGACCTGTGACCTGCATTACGACCTGTGACCTGTACTACGACCTGTGACCTGCACTACGACCTGTGACCTGTGACCTGCACTACGACCTGTGACCTGCACTACGACCTGTGACCTGCACTACGACCTGTGACCTGCACTTCGACCTGTGACCTGCACTACGACCTGTGACCTGTACTACGACCTGTGACCTGCACTACGACCTGCGACCTGTGACCTGCACTACGACCTGTGACCTGCACTACGACCTGTGACCTGCACTTCGACCTGTGACCTGCACTACGACCTGTGACCTGCACTACGACCTGTGACCTGCACTACGACCTGTGACCTGCACTTGACCTGTGACCTGACCTGCACTACGACCTGTGACCTGCACTACGACCTGTGACCTGCACTACGACCTGTGACCTGTGACCTGCACTACGACCTGTGACCTGTGACCTGCACTATGACCTGTGACCTGTAACCTGTGACCTATGACCTGCACTACGACCTGTGACCTGTGACCTGCATGTTTAGTATTTTTAGTGCTGTATCGATGTCCACGTCTCAGGCTTCGATATCGTCGCGGTCTAAACCTCACAGATATTTATCGCGATATCGTGGGAAAGTTCACGATGAGAGATGTTAACGATATTAAAATCTCTGTACGATATTTTCATGATTCTCACCGTACGAGATTCACTGAGATATTTTGTGAACAAAACTGTGAATATTTGACTTTTTCCTCTTAAAATGTCTCGACAAAACTTAATCCAAATAACTCGGAGTTAGAAGTGTTTTTTCTTCTTGTCGTTTCACTGAAATGGAGCAAAGGATCATGGTCTGTGTAGTTTCTCTGTGTTTTTAGCTGTTGCTGCATCAGAACTTTTCATTTAAACAAAGACACTTGTAACTCGATAAACTGTGATGCTCCACGATATTATTGTGTGTGTGTGTGTGTGTCTGTGTGTGTGTGTGTGTGGGGGGGGGTGTAAATATGTGTGTGTGTCTGTGTGTGTGTGTCTGTGTGTGTGTCTGTGTGTATGTGTGTGTGTCTGTGTGTGTGTGTCTGTGTGTGTGTGTGTGTGTGTGTGTGTGTGTGTGTGTGTGTCTGTGTGTATGTGTGTGTGTGTGTGTGTGTGTGTGTGTGTGTCTGTGTGTATGTGTGTGTGTGGGTGTGTGTGTGTGTAAATATGTGTGTGTGGGGGGGGGGTGTAATATGTGTGTGTGTCTGTGTGTATGTGTGTGTGTCTTGTGTATGTGTGTGTGTCTGTGTGTATGCGTGTGTGTCTGTGTGTATGCGTGTGTGTCTGTGTGTGTGTAAATATGTGTGTGTGTCTGTGTGTGTGTGTGTAAATATGTGTGTGTGTGTCTGTGTGTATGTGTGTGTGTCTGTGTGTGTAAATATGTGTGTGTGTGTCTGTGTGTGTGTGTGTGTGTGTGTGTGTGTCTGTGTATGTGTGTGTGTAAATATGTGTGTGTGTGTGTGTGTGTGTTAATATGTGTGTGTGTGTTTCAGAGTCGGGAGCAGCTCCTGGTGGAACTCAGTTTGTACCAAACCAAAGTCGCAGACCTGGAGTCAGCGCTCAGACAACAGGGACAGGTGAGGAACACCTGACGGGACAGGTGAGGAACACCTGACGGGACAGGTGAGGAACACCTGACCGGACAGGTGAGGAACACCTGACCGGACAGGTGAGGAACACCTGACGGGACATTTGAGGAACACCTGACCGGACAGGTGAGGAACACCTGACCGGACAGGTGAGTATTGTGTGCACTCACCTGTCTCCTGTGTGTATATCATGTAACATATATAAAATGTGTGTGTTTTATATATACACGCGTGTGTGTGTGTGTGTATGTGTGTGTGTGTGTGTGTGTGCGTGTGTGTGTGTGAGAGAGTGTGTGTTATATCTAACGTGTGTGTGTGTGTATGTGTTCAGGACTTGAAGTGGGTGGAGGAGAAGCAGGCTCTGTTCCAGAGGAACCAGGAGCTCCTGGAGAAGGTCAGAGCTTCTGTGGTGAACAGAGAATGATGGGAAATGGAGTTTTGCTCTGTATAAGTGACATGTGTGAGTGTGAGGCCCTGCGTCTGGGGGATGATGGGAGTTGTAGTTTTTATAGAGTTTGTGTTGTAGTTCTGGAGAGTGTGAGGAGCTGCGTCTGGGGGATGATGGGAGTTGTAGTTTTTATAGAGTTTGTGTTGTAGTTCTGGAGAGTGTGAGGAGCTGCGTCTGGGGGATGATGGGAGTTGTAGTTTTTATAGAGTTTGTGTTGTAGTTCTGGAGAGTGTGAGGAGCTGCGTCTGGGGGATGATGGGAGTTGTAGTTTTTGTGTTTCAGTTGGGCGAGTGCGAGTGTGAGGAGCTGCGTCTGAGGAGCGAGATCCAGGACGTGAGGGACCAGAACGAGCTGCTGGAGTTTAGGATCCTGGAGCTGGAGGTCAGTCTGACCCCTGACCTCTGACCCCCCTGACCTCTGATCTCTGACCCTGAGTGTGTCGCCCCCTACAGGAGCGAGAGCGCCGGTCTCCAGCTCTCACCTTCCAACAACTCCATTTCCCAGAAGGCCTCAGTGCTCTGCAGATCTACTGCCAGGCCGAGGGCATCACGGTGAGTCCCACCAGAGACCACGAGGATCACAACCAGATCAAGAGGGTCCAGATCAGGATCACAATCAGATCAAGAAGGTCCAGACTCTGACATATTTACAACATATAAATGATCAAATTCATAAATACACATAAAAGTATTGATCTGGAGCTCACAGATAAACGGGCGGGTCACACACACAGATCACAGAGTGGGTCAAATGCCGGGTCTGGTCACCTGTTGGTTCTGTTTCAGGACATCGTGATGACGGAGCTGATGAAGAAGTTGGACATTTTGGGCGATAACGCCGTAAGTGTATGTTCCTTTATTTATGATACGTTTGTTTAACCAGACCAGACCAGGACTTAGACCAGGACTTAGACCAGGACTTAGACCAGACTTAGACCAGGACTTAGACCAGGACTTAGATTGGATTATTCTACCAAATTGACTTTTTTGTTTTTCTCTCATGTTCTAAATTTCCTCATTTCAAACCTGAACAGGTTTTAGAGTCCTCCATGTTTGAGTCATCTAGAGATCTCTCCTGGCCCCTATTCAAACCCTCCTTACAGTTTGTTGTTGTACGAGTCTGTACAAAGCTCCGCCCACATGCTCCGACAGTACGAGTCTGTACGAGGCTCCGCCCCCACGCTCCCACATGACAATCTTCCATAAAAACTCTTTATTACCCCACAGGGGTAAATACTCGTGTTTATTGCCCCTCTGTGTTTTTAAGTCGTCTGTTGTGGTGTTTTATTCAGAATCTGTCGAACGAGGAGCAGGTTGTGGTGATCCAGGCCCGGACGGTGCTCACTCTGGCCGAGAAGGTTTTTATACAACGTCTTATATATACACAGTATATATACAATATACACACAATATATATACGCAGTATATTTACTGTGTGTATATATTGTGTGTATCTACATGATATATACACACAGTATATGTACAATATCATGCAATATATACACACAATATAACACATACACACATGTAACAGTCTTGGTGATTCACACTCTCCTCTGTCCTCTTCCCTCTTTTCTTTTCTCTTTTCTTTTCTTTTTTTTTCTTTTCTCTTTTCTCTTTTCTTTTCTTTCTCTCAGTGGTTGGAGTCGATTGAAGTGACTCGTTCTGCTCTGAACCAAACCAGACTCGACATCCAGAACGAGAAGGTATTTCAAAAAGTACTCTGTGTACTGAAGTACTGTGGTAAAAGTACTCAGCGCACTGAAGTACTGTGGTAAAAGTACTCTGTACTGAAGTACTGCGGTAAAAACTCCGTGTACTGTACTGCAGTAAAAGTAGTACTTGTAGTTTACTGACAGTACTTGTGTTGACAGGAGCAGTTTTCTAAACTGAAGGGATATTTGGACGAAGAACTCGACTTCAGGAAACAGTCGATGGACGAGGCTCATAAGGTCTGAATGTTCTATCTGTGTCTGTGTGAGTGTGAGTCTGCATGTTCTTCCTGTGTCTGTTTTGGTGTAATAGTTCTTTTTCTTGTATCTTTGTGTTCAAACTCCGGCCCGGGGGCCAAATTTGTCTTGTGGTGTAAATATATTTGTCCCGTGAGATCAGATCAAACCTGGATCAGAGCTGCTGCTGCTGCTGCTGCTGCTGCTGCTGCTGCTGCTGCTGCTGCTGCTGCTGCTGCTGCTGCTGCTGCTGCTGCTGCTGCTGCTGCTGCTGCTGCTGCTGCTGCTGCTGCTGCTGCTGGATTAATTTAAACTTTTGTTATTATTTTATATTTTGTTCTGGATTCAAAGTTTAACCAAAATTATGATTAAACTTTTATTTGAATAAGAAAAGTTTCAACATTAAATCTCCAAAAAAGAGAAAAACCTGCAGATGTTGAAGAAGTTTCAGTAAATATTTAGTTTGGCCCAAAACTTAGTCCCAGTTTTTATTTTTGTCCTCTGTGAGTTTGAGTTTGACTCTCCTGACGTACTGTGTCTTTGAACTGGAGTTGTTCTCTCAGTGTTAAATCCGGGTGTTGTTTTCAGCGTATCCTGGAGCTGGAGGCCATGTTGTACGAGGCCTTACGTCTGGAGGAGCAGACGTCACTCAAACAGGAGCTGCGAGCTGATAGGCTGACGGAGGAGCAGAGGGCGGAGCTAAGCCGAGCCGTGGACCAATGGAAACGCAGCGTGATGTGTGAGCTCCGAGAACGCGACGCACAAATCCTGAGAGAGCGGATGGAGCTACTGCACCTGGCACAACAGGTACTACAAATACTACAAGTACTACAAATACTACAAATACTACTACTGCACCTGGCACAACAGGTACTACAAATACTACAAGTACTACAAATACTACAAATACTACTACTGCACCTGGCACAATAGGTACTACAAATACTACAGATACTACAGATACTACAAATACTACAAATACTACTACTACTACTACTGCACCTGGCACAACAGGTACTACAAATATTACAAATACTACAAATACTACAAATACTACTACTACTACTGCACCTGACACAACAGGTACTAAATATATGTACACGTGCTACTACTGACAGTAAAATCCCACAGTGGAGGGGAAGTGTGCTGCTCATGGACACAACAGCAATAACAGTCAAAACTGTTATAAAACTAAACACAGAAGTGTTTGTGGCTCCTCCTCTTCCTGTTGACATGTTTGTGGCTCCTCCTCTTCCTGTTTGTTATTTTCAGAGGAACAAAGACCTGGAGGAGGTGATCGAAGCACAGAAACGACAGATCAAAGAACTCGAGGAGAAGGTCAGTGTCACCACCACGCTCTTATTCTGAAAGAAACACGCTCTTATTCTGAAAGAAACACGCTCTTATTCTGAAAGAAACACGCTCTTATTCTGAAAGAACAGGGCAGGTCACAGATTTTAACCTGAGCTTTTATTGTGACGTTTCAGTTCCTCTTCCTGTTCCTCTTCTTCTCTTTGGCCTTCATCCTCTGGTCCTAACCCCGGATCATAACCGGATCACAACCGGACTAAAGATGGTCTCAACCCTGGAGCTAAACCTGGTCCTAAAGCAGGATCATAACCAGATCATAACCGGACTAACCCTGGTCTAACCGCGGATCAGAAGAGAACTAAACCTGGTCTGGATCAGAGCTGGACCTAACCACAGTTTACTGGACTTTATGGACTTCCTCCTCCTCCTCCTCCTCTCCTCTCCTCTTCCTCCCTCCATCCTCTCTCCTCCTCCTCTCTCTCCTCTTCCTCCTCTCCTCTCCTCTCCTCCTCATCCCTCTCTCCTCCTCTTTCCTCCTCCTCTTCCTCCTCATCTCTCTATCCTCCTCCTCTCTCCTCCCTCTCTCTTCCTCCTCTCCTCTTCCTCCTCATCCCTCCGTCCTGTCGTTTACTGACTTCCGTCTGTTTTGGTGCTGAAAACGTCGAACTCGAGTCGAACTTTTTATTTGTGTCAAAATAAAAGACAGATATTTATTCTTCTTTCTGTAAAAATGAAATAAAATGTCTGCATCAGCCTGAGGCTTTTATTCTGAAGGGGCTGTCTGTGTTTTATTCTGAAAGGACAGAGTTTTATTCTGAAATGACACACAGTTTTATTCTGAAAGGACAGAGTTTTATTCTGAAAGGACACACAGTTTTATTCTGAAAGGACAGAGTTTTATTCTGAAATGACACACAGTTTTATTCTGAAAGGACAGTTTTATTCTGAAATGACACACAGTTTTATTCTGAAAGGACACACAGTTTTATTCTGAAAGGACACACAGTTTTATTCTGAAAGGACACACAGTTTTATTCTGAAAGGACACAGTTTTATTCTGAAAGGACACAGTTTTATTCTGAAAGGACACACAGTTTTATTCTGAAAGGACACACAGTTTTATTCTGAAAGGACAGTTACAGTTCATTTTATCTGTGATTCAGTTTACTGTAGTTCAGGTAAATGTCCACTAGAGGGCAGACAAACACAACACAAAAAACAGGACCAAACGAGGACTAAGGACCAGGACTAGACCAGGACCTAACCAGGACTGAACCAGGTCTGAACCAGGTGTAAATTTGAACAATCCAGATGATTCTAGTGAAGGTGTGTGGAGTGGAGCACTTCTTGTATCACCACATAATGACATCACAAGGTGGAACAGGTGTTTTCTTGTGTTAAATGTGCAGGTTTGTGTGAAACATGTGAATGAAACAAAACACAACTCCAGGAAACAACAACAACAGAACAGAACAGAACAGAGACCTAGTCCTGGTCCTGGTCCTGGTCTGGAGCAGCAGGGTTCTGGTTCTGGTCCTGGTCCCTGTCCTGGTTCTGGTCCTGGTCTGGAGCAGCAGGGGTCTGGTTCTGGTTCTGGTTCTGGTCCTGGTCTGGAGCAGCAGGGTTCTGGTTCTGGTTCTGGTCCTGGTCCTGGTCTGGAGCAGCAGGGTTCTGGTTCTGGTCCTGGTCCTGGTCCTGGTTCTGGTCCTGGTCTGGAGCAGCAGGGTCTGGTTCTGGTTCTGGTCCTGGTCCTGGTCTGGAGCAGCAGGGTTCTGGTTCTGGTCCTGGTCCTGGTCCTGGTCCTGGTCCTGGTCCGGAGCAGCAGGGGTCTGGTTCTGGTTCTGGTTCTGGTCCTGGTCTGGAGCAGCAGGGTTCTGGTTCTGGTTCTGGTCCTGGTCCTGGTCCCTGGTCCTGGTCCGGAGCAGCAGGATTCTGGTTCTGGTTCTGGTTCTGGTCCTGGTCCGGAGCAGCAGGGGTTCTGGTTCTGGTTCTGGTCCTGGTCTGGAGCAGCAGGGTTCTGGTTCTGGTTCTGGTCCTGGTCCTGGTCCGGAGCAGCAGGGTTCTGGTTCTGGTTCTGGTCCTGGTCCGGAGCAGCAGGGTTCTGGTTCTGGTCCTGGTCTGGAGCAGCAGGGGTCTGGTTCTGGTTCTGGTCCTGGTCCGGAGCAGCAGGGGTCTGGTTCTGGTTCTGGTTCTGGTCCTGGTCCTGGTCCTGGTCTGGAGCAGCAGGGGTCTGGTTCTGGTTCTGTACAAAGTGCAGGTCTTGTTCCTGTGAGACTCAAACCAGGGACCTCGTCGTTCACTGGAGCAGAAACTACACTTAGTGCAGAGCCGTGTACCGCGTTTCCCAGAAGGCCGAGCGGCGCCGATAAAAAACTGTGTTCATCAAACGGAGCGAAAAACACGACAAAAACCAGGCCACAGTTTAAAGAGTATTTACTGAAAAACCAGGACTAAAACAGGTCTGAACCAGGACTGAACCAGGACTAAACCAGGACTAAACCAGGACTAAACCAGGACTAAACCAGGACTAATGTAATAACCCGGATAGCAACTTTAATGGTTATAAGAGGAAAAGAGTTGAGCTGATTTCCAGTGGAGAACAAAAGTGATTTTATTTCACCAGCACAAGAATTTTATTTATTTATTTTTTACAAAAGACACAAAAAGTTAAAAAGCAGCATATTACACACACACACACACACACACACACACACACACACACACACACACACACAGACACACACACACACACACACACACAGAGACACACACACACACACACATAGACACACACACACATACACACAGAGACACACACACACACACACACACACACATACACACAGAGACACACACACACACACACACACACAGACACACACACACACACACACAGACACACACACACACACACACACACACACACACACACACATACACACACACACAATTGAACACACAGTGGAGCCACAACAGTTCCTCCTCTCTCTAATAAACTTAATCAAATAACACAATTAACAACATTTATGTAAGATATTTTTTATATTACACAAGAAACAAGTTCTATTAATCTATATCAATGTACATTTACAAAAAATATAACATAATCACAGAGTGAACTCTTTACACAGCAAACACCAACCGTGTTTAGTTTTGCTGATTATTTATCACCAGTTCTGTTAACGTGACAGAAAAACACATTTGTGTACAGGTTCTGTGAGTAAAGAAAGGAAAGAAGAGTGTGAAGTGGGACACCAGAGCCTCACTCAGAGCCAGAGCAGCGGGCACATATGAACGGGCACAATACACTATTTTACCAGTGAAAGGAACTCTGAACGCTTCAGCAGACCAAGAGGTTTTGGACAATTCCATGATCCCAACTGTTGGCAGTATAGTATATGAGGCACATGTGAGCGGACAGACCAGCGGGCAGACACTTCTCTGGCAGCCTGTACTACTCACTGCGTGATCATCTTCCATGTTCTTTTGGGACTTATGCCCGCTCCACACTGGGCATAGCAGAGGGCAGTTGGCTGCTGTTCTGCTCTGAACTGTAAGCTGGTTTTAGACATGGAAGTAAAATCATACCTAAGAAGAACCTAAAGATGGTGTCATGTTGTTTTCAGAGGCTTGTGTCATTGATGAAAAGAGCCTAAGTTACTTCCTGAACACTGGCCCAGCCCTGCCCCTGCTCAGAACAGGCCTACGCTATAACTCTTCAGGTCACGTTTAGGAGCTTTGACAATTTAAAAAATGTTAAAAAGTTCATATTGTAGATACTGAAGAATCCCTACAAAACCCAATCTATGTGAAAGCTGGATGCTCTGTTAGAGAACATGGGCAGTTTGTATTCACAAAAAATGCATTGTACTCTGAGGTCAGAGGTCAGATGTCAGGGGTCAGGTACAGTGTGTTCTGTGGGAGAACGGTTTCTGTGTAAAGCTCTGGAGCTGCAGTACCTGGAGCAGCCACTAGTCAATCTTACAGAGGGGGAGGGGCTTGTCCAGTTTGTATTACAGATCCATAGTCTGAACTTTCAGATTAAAGTGGACATAGAGTTGAGACTTCAGACCAACTGGTGCACTCAGCTACTTCAGCGTCTGTGTCAGAGCTGTTTGATGGGAGTAGCTGTTCTTTCTTCTTCAGTCTGGCCACTACAGTCAGGGAGATCCTGTGTCAGGGCTGTTTGATGGTTCCTTCTTCAGCCAGGGCATCAGGGGCAGATCCTGTGTCAGGGCTGTTTGATGTTCCTTCAGCTTGGGCATCAGGGCAGACCTGGTTGGTTCTGAGTGGACACCACACAGGTACTCCATGACTCTGGAGACACAACATCAAAGTTTTAACCAAAAATACAATAATATGTAATTATTATTAATTTCAAATAATGCTTCAGGCAGTATTTGAATCATTGTGAGATCCCTCTCACCTCGTATTCCTCTTTTTTCTAATTCTGTTCTGATTGTTTTGTCTGCATTTTCATAGACCTGATTCCATTTTCCTTGTTTGGTCTGATTTTCTAACTCCGTAATCAGCATCTCTTTGCAGATTTGTTCAGCATCTCCAACACCAGACCTCTGTCCAGGCCACTCCTTACTTCTTCAAGTTCCACATCCTTTGTATAACAGCAGTTACGGACAAAAGACACCAGACATCCAAGAATCGCCCAGCCCAGGAGAATTCCCATAGCAATAAGCTGAGAGAGAAAAAAAGAGCTTTAAGAATACACTTCATGTCATGTGTCTTCAGCAGCTCTGGTGAGATTTGAACAACAGATTTAATAAAGAAAACAACAGTGAGTGAACGAGCTCAAAATGAGTTTGGCCACTTGGAGTGAAGCTTTCTAAACTTCACTTTCTTTTCCAACACTGAGAGCAGAGCTCATCAGGGACGACCCCACACTGATCTGAGTAATGATGAGAGTTTCCAAAAAACAAGTTGTTGCTGTGGATAAATTTACCTTTTTAAAAACAAGGTAAAACAAAAGCACAGCAGCTCAAAGTTAGCAGAACCAACAAACGAGACACACCAGTGCCATCTTGGAACCATTCTATGTTGCCACGTTGGCACTTATAGTCTGTATTGACTTTGTCTATTTACTGATGAGTACCACCCAGAGCCACAGCCACAGTAACACAAATAAAACCAGTAAGACCTGAGCTTAACATCTGCAGTCTCACTCTGACCCATGGTATTAATGTCTATGAGATTTTTCCCATTATCAGAAATCTTTTGGTGCAGACAGAAAAAAATTAGCAGTGGACACCCGCTTCAGATCAGATCTG